CAATAAGATAATAAGAATTCTCACTAGGGCCTGGGGTTGTAGCTCAGTGGCAGAGCTCTTGCCAACATGTGTGAGGCACTGGGTTCCATCCTTAGCATCACATAAAGATAGATAACAAAATAAAAAATTTAAAAATAATAATAATAAAAAAGAATTCTCACTAGAAACTTGTAGAATCTGAGAGAAGTGGAGGTGACTAGTAAGGCTTAGAAACATTTTGTTATTATTATTTATTATTATTATTTTTTTTGCACAGAAGCCACCATGTTCATCCATAAGACCTCAGCAAAGGCAAGCACTTGGCATCCTTCAGGGAATGGGCTTGAGGTTGTGGGGAAGGGACAAGCCTATAGGAATGGAATATGCTTCACTTCCCAGGTGGAACAAGACATCTGACATAGTCTCAGAGAAGGGACAATACTCAAGGTCAGCAGGAGCCCCAGTCAAGTCATCCTAAGGCTTTGGGATTGTGGTGTGTTTTGAAAGCAACAGCCACAGTGGGGGAATAGCTTAGTTGGCAGAATGCTTGCCTAGCATGCATAAAACCCTGTGTCCAATTTCTAGAACAACAACAACCAAAAAAAGAAAGGAAGGAAGGAAGGGAAAAAAAGGAAATAAATAAAGAAAGAAAGAACTCAATAGTTAGCTTCCAAGGAGACTCAACAAAGGTCTGCTAAGCATAAACCATGACAGATAAAAGAGGAAAGAAAGCAAGGCACAGTGGCACACCTGTAATCCCAGCTACTCAAGAGGCTGAGGCAGGAGGTTAGCAAGTTCATTGCCAACCTGGACAACTTAGACCCTATCTCAAAATAAAAAATATTTTTAAAAAAAGTGCTGGGGGAAAAAATCTAAAAAATAAAAAATGGGGGACTGGGGATATAGCTCAGAAGTAGAGCGCCCCTGCATTCAATCTCCAGAACCAAAAAAGACAAAAAAAAAAAAGAAGAAAAAAGAAAAGAACGGAAATGGCATGGCCTTTAGGCACAAAGACCATTGCCAAAATACAGGCAAGCAAAAAGGAAAAAGCTAGGGTAGGAAGGGAGGGAGAGAAGGAAGGGAGCCAGCAAAAGAAAGAACCCAATCTAGAAGAAAATACAACTGAAGAAATAAAAGCAGATTTCTAGCAAGTCCTTCCTGTCGAAGAAGGTCTTATTTATAGTATGAAATCAATAGTCTAAAGAATCAAGGACAAGGTGACAAAACAACAGAATGGGATGGACGCAGAGATTAGAGAACTGCGGGGGCGCGGGGAATGATAGAGGCCCCAAATAATATTACAGATATAACAAACTAGTAACAGCAAAGCAGAATAGATATATCTAAAAATCAAAGTAATGTGTAGGAAAGGTTTAAGATATTGAGGGTAAATGTAGTGGGAAAAAAATAAAGATATTAAAGCATTTAGAGAGAAGGTAATAGGATGAAGACAAGCTACTTTAGTATAACTATTAGCAGCCCTAAAGTGGAGGTTTCAAAAATGGAACACAAAAAGATATTAAGGTGAAATACTGGAGAAATTCCCTAGAATGAAGGAAGAACTGAATAGTCAGCTTGAAAAGACACACACCAAATACCAGAAAAATTCATATAGGATAACTGACCTTAAGACACATTGATTTAGTTACCAAATTTTGAGGATAAAGTAAGAATACTTCAGGCACCTAGGCAGAAAAAATAAGTCACTTACAATGAGAGGAAACGCAATCTACTGTCAAATTTCTCCAAGGTAACATTTGATCAACACTAAGATAATGAAGCAATATCTTGCATGCCTGTGATCCCAGCTACCTGGGAGGCTGAGGCAGGAGGACTAGAAGTTCCAGGCTAGCCTAGGCAACTTAGTGAGACCCTGTCTTGAAATGAAAATATAAAGGTCTGGGTGGGAATATAACTCAGTGGTACAGCCCTTGCCTAGCATGTGCAAAGCCCTGGGATCCATCCCCATTTCCACAAAAAATAAAAATAAAAAGATAATAGTACAAAAAGAAAAGAAAAAGAAAAAAACTATCCATGACAAAATCTAGTCAGCCAAAAAATTAATCAAAACCAGGAGCTGAGGACGAGAGATCCATGGTAATAGTACTGGTGGTGACATTAATTCCATTTTGGTTAAGATTAAACTGTGGGAGTTTTAGTTGCAGAACAGAATGTAAATATTATAAATCCCGATAGAGTAAAAACAACGTTGGCAACATAATCGGGAGTGGAGAGGGGTGGAAAGGAGGGCAGAGTACTGATCACATTTTCTTTTATAGTTCAGAGTCAATTAATAGTATATAAATTTGAAACATCATAATAAAAATCCTCCTCCAACCTCTTAATCAAAATCATTTTTCTAAACTCAAGAGGAATGACTGTTTTTTGAGGTGAAGTAATACTTAGCTTAGGTTCAGTTATTCTTTCATCTTCAGTTTCTTTTCCTCTATTAAATTCAAGTAAAAGTACACTTTCTACTTTTGGTTTAATAAAAATAGCCTCTATAGCATGTCCTGTTAGGACTATAAGAATAGCCCTATTCCTAGATATTTTTTAACTTGTCTGGATCTCTCTCTGCACCTGTCTCTCTCTTCTTGTCTTTCTCAATGATTCTTTATACCTGTAATATGCTTACTAAATATAACACCAATCATTTCTGGATGGTATGATTGAATGATTTATTGTATTTTTCTTTGTATTCTTTTGTATGCTTTATAGATAACTTACTAATAATAAGCATGTATCTTTTTTTTTTTTCAGTCTACTTTTACAGTGTTTACCCATGTCTCCATCTAGGTCTAATGGCAAATCACTTAACGTCCATGAGCCTCATATTCCTCATCTTCAATCTGGGGATAACTAAATTTACATTAAAGGGCATTTTTAAGATTGTGAAATAATATGCCCTCCCCAGAACCTGAGAGTATTACCTTATATGGCAAAAGGAACTTTTACAGATATGATAAAATTAAGGGTCTTGAGATGGGAAGATTGTCCCAGATTATCTGGATGGACCTGATCTTATCAAAAATGGTTCTGATAAGAAAGAGGGAGGGGGTATCACAGAAGATGCTGGATGGTGAAAGCAGAGATTGGGGTGATGTGCTTTGAGGATAGGGCAGTGGTCCATGAGCCAAGGTGTATAGGCAGCTAGAAGCTGAAAAGGCAGAAAACAGATTCTCTTCTCAAAGCCTACAGAAAAAAAACAACAAAAAAAAAAAAACAGAATTGCAGACACCTTGACTTTAGGCCACTGAAATGGATTTCAGACCTCTGACTTTCAGACTGTAAGAGGATAAATCTGTGTTGTTTGAAACCATTAAGTTTATAGTAATTTGTTATTACAGCAGCAACAGGAAACTAATATTTATACCTTCCTATGTGCTTTTCCCTTGGCCCAAGTTGACCTCCTAATCCATCTCTTTTATCCAGCCAACTCCTACTTATTCAACATTTGATTCAAATTTCCCTAACACTTCCTACCTTCCACTGTTTCCCAGAGTTGGGATGTGTGTCCCCCATTGCAGCACTTGCCACTCTGTCATAGTTGCTCATGGATAGGTCTCACTCTATCTCATGGTCTGTGCTCAGAAAATGACCCAGCTTAGTAACTGATAAATGAATAGATGAATAAGTGAGGGTTAGGCAAGTAGTAGGAACCTTACAAATATCTATTACTCTCTTTCCTTAGTGTCAAGATCTCTATTTTTCTTCTTCTTTTCCTCCTCCTCCTCCTTTTTCTTCTTCTTGTCCTTCTTCTTACTCTTCTCCTTCTTCTTTCTTCTCTTTTTATGGTACTAGGGGAGTGAACCCAGTGGTGCTCTAAGCTACATCCCTGGCCCTTTTTATATTTTTTTACATTGAGACAGGGTCCCACTAAGTTGTGCAGGCTGGCCGCATCCAGCTCCCTTCTCTGTTTCTATCTAGGTTTCTCTCCTACCAGACTGTCTTCCACATACACAGATTCTTCCAGTCCTAGAAAACTGATCAGTTTCATTGGTTCAAAACACATTTGCTAACCCTGTTTTGTGACTCTGAAGGTATGTTTGTCTTTGCACATGTTGTGTCATTGAGGCCTATGGACTTCTTTATGTGTGTTTTTCTGGATACATGGTATTTGTGTAGTTCGACATGTATCTCTGAGTGGATGTGTGTTATGTGCATGCCTATGCCTGTGGGTAGGCTTGTTGTTGCCTGTACATATGTATTTGCTTGTATAATGTGTGTCTCTGCTCTGTGAGCTGTATATTTGTGTCTTATCAGTGTATACAAGAAAGGCTACCTTTTGGTTTATGCGTCAAGGGATTTGACCCCCTGAGGCAAGGGTTAGTGGGCCAGGATAATCTACTGAGATGTCAACTGAGTTTTGTTCCAGACCCAGTTTTCTCTTTCCTATCTCATGCAGAAGGCTGGCCCTTTTTTCTCCCTAGCTCCTAGTGGGGAGTATTTCAGGCACAAGGCATCAATGTCAATCTCAGACATCTTCCTGACTCTGGCCTTCGGGGAGTCTAAGCTGTTTTTGTTTGGTTTGGTTTGTTAGCCGGGATTGAACTCAGGGGTGTCTAATCATTGAGCCACATCCCCAGACCCCTTTTCATATATATATATATATGAAAATATATATATATATATATAAAATATATATATATATATATATATATATTTTTTTTAGACAAGGTTTTACTAAATTGCTTAGGGCCTGACTAAGTTGCTGAGGCTGACTTTGCACCATCCTCCTGCCTTGGCCTCCTGAGCTGCTAGGATTACAGACTTATTGTGCTCAGCAGGCCTAAGCTGCTTCTTCTTCTTCTTCTTCTTCTTCTTTTAAGATTTATTTTTTTAGTTGTAGTTGGACACAATACCTTTATTTATTTTTAGGTGGTGCTGAGAATTGAACCCAGGGCCTTGCATGTGCTAAGCGAGTGCTCTACCGCTAAGCCATAACCTTAGACCGAGGCCTAAGCTTCTTGAAGGAATAATACTATAGAGAGGAGAGAAAAGACAAAGTAATTCAGAGGGTCTTTCTTCAAAACAGAGAGGGAATCTGTATTTATATGGGCAAGGGGACAACCAAATACCCCCTAGAGGTACCCCAGGAGTGAGCATCGTAGGCTTAGAACAGAGAATCCTGGGCATTGAGCTCCCCAAACTGGGGCATATCAGCAAAGATCATGTAAATTGCAGCATAAAATAAGGACCTCTCCATAATTGGGGAGGATGGGGTGAGGAGGGATCTCAATAATGACCTTCCTACTACCTCCAGGAGCTAGAACCTGGGAGAAGAGTTATTACTTAGTTTTAGCCACTTCAACCATTTAAAAGTGTAAAGTTCTATAGCATTAAATATATTCACCTTATTGGGCAACCATATAGTTTTTATAAAATAGAGAAGCATTACTGATTTTGCACACCTGAGTACACATGACTCCAGGCCCATCATTATTGGGAAAAACATATACCAGCAGGAGGTTGACTGGGACTGTGGAGAGGCAAAGTATATCCCTCATACCACCCCTGGAGGGAAAGGCAGGAGGAAAAGACAGGAGAGAGAGCCAGGAAGGGTACAGATTCTCTTCTGGTTAGTAATGGGCTGGGTGGGACCTGGCGCTGGAGAGAAGGTGGGGCCAGTCAGGGTTTTGAAAGCCAGGCTGAGGTTCTAAAGCTTTTCCTGGGAGTTAAGAGCTGAGGGAACTGGTCACACCTGGGCAGCTTTGTGTTTTGGAAAGACTGCTCTGGGAGCTGTGCAGAAGAAGGTAAGGAGGAACGAGAAGGAGAACCCAAGGTGGCTGAGAACACCAAGCAACCTGAGGAAGGGACTCTTGATGATGTGGAAAGTCCAAGAACAGCTTCTTGCTGTATCCAGGCAGGAGAAAGTCTAGGGCTGGTCGGTGAGAACAGTACTTTCAGAGTACATAGTCTTCACATCTTAATGAATCTGAGGTGGGAAAGGAAGGGAGAAAAAAAGAGTCTTGTACAATCCTGCTGACTGGGAGATGGTAGGAAATTGTTTACCGAAACTGTCATTACAACGAACAAATAAAAAATGCTGGAAAAAGAAAAAGAAATTTTCATCACAGGAAATCAGGCTTTGGGAAAGTTTATAATAACCATGGCTCAGACATTCAATCAATTGCCTATGGTCTCACAGGAGTAAGGGGCAGACAGGTGCAGAGGCAGCCATTTCAAGCATGAGGTACAAATGGGACCTCCTGGCAGAGGGCATATAGTTACTAGTTAAGACAGTGACACTGGGGTCAGACAAACCTGGGTACCTGTTGACCTTGGAAAAAATTCATTAATCCCTCTAATGCTCATTCCTTAAGTGGAAAATAGGATAACGGTACCAGCCTCCTAGGGTTGTTGTAAGCATTTAATGAGATGATGCATATAAAGACATTGTCACAGTGCCTGTCATGTTGTGACACTACATAAATATTAGTTCTTAATAACAATAGCAATAGCAACAACAAGTTGCAGTGTGGGACTTGGCAGTGAGGTCCGGATTAGTGTTAAAGCACAAAAATGGGCACTGATGCCACAGACACAGAGGAACTCACTTAAGATTAACGGAGAGGACAGTGGTTGCAGAGAGCACAGCCCATTAAAGAAGTCATGGAGCAGGCAGAGAGCTGTTGGAGCTGAGGGCAGTGCAGCAAATCTGAATTCTAATTTGGACTCTATCACTTGTTGCTATGGGGCCTTAGGAAAAAACCCTTGGTTGCATGGAGCCTCAGTTTCCTCTTCTTCAGTTTCCTGGACCTGTCTTGCCTTCAGGTGAGAATTACCTATGAGGAATGTAAAACTCCAACACAGTCGAAGTGCTTCATAAATAAGAGCTGTCACTTTAGGAGGAGGAATAAATGTTCCCAGAGAAAGCGCCTTCATGGAAGACAAGAGAAGACAGAGTTTCAAAAAGGGATCAACAGTTGGGCAGGATTGCACCCATCTGTAATCCCAGTGACTGGGGAAGCTGAGGCAGGAGGATTGAACGTTCAAGGCCAGCCTCAGCAACTTAGCAAGATCCTAAGCAACTTATTGAGACCCTGTCTCAAATATAAAATAAAAAGGGCTGGGATGTGGCTCAGTGGTTATGCGTACCTGGGTTAAAGCCTCATTACAAAAAAACCCCCAACAATTTAAATGTTGCCAACAAAGATAAGGACTAAGAAATATTTATTGGATATGACAAGAAGGTGAAAGTAACCTTGGTGAGCCAGCTTCAAGGATGGGGAGAGCAGAAGGCGGGGGCAGCAGCTAAGGATGTGGGGAAGTGGAGCTGAGAAAGAAGGTGACAGCTTGGCAAGGATGATGAGAGGGAGTGGGTGGGTGGGGGACAGCGATTGGCATGGTTCTGAGATGGGGAAATCAGAACACATGGCAAGTTTGCCTATCCTTGAGTGTAGCTGCTGTGTGCCCATCCTGCCCCCACCGGCCCAGGATTGGTTTCAGTCTTGTGACTCTTTGTTCTTCACACAAGGGCCTCTCTGTCTAGGTACATCCTCAAGCTCCTAGAGGCTCCTTGAGCCACAAGACAGGTCACTCAATACCGGGACCAGGTACCTCCTCTCTCTCTAGTTTCTACTATGGGGGAAAAAAGGTTGAAATACCTTTTTTTTCACACCTTCTGCCAGGGCTTTAGCTTTGGTCCCTGATCCTGCTTGCCTGTCTGTACAGCCTAGGGCAGAGGGTAAGTAGCAACAAAAACAGCTATCAAGTTTATCTTTTCTTTTGATTCCTTCCCATCAGTATTTGCCCATATAAGAAACATAGGAGGGCTGGGGATGTGGCTCAAGTGGTAGCACGCTCACCTGGCATGCGTGCGGCCTGGGTTCGATCCTCAGCACCACATACAAACAAAGATGTTGTGTCTGCCGAAAACTAAAAAATAAATATTTAAAAAAAAAAATTCTCTCTCTCTCTCTCTTAAAAAAAAAAAAAGAAACATAGAAGGGGGCTGGGGATGTGGCTCAAGTGGTAGCGCGCTCGCCCGGCATGCGTTCGGCCCGGGTTTGATCCTCAGCACTACATACAAACAAAGATGTTGTGTCCACCGAAAAAACTAAAAAAATAAATATTAAAAAAAAGAAACATAGGAGTTTTTTTTTTTGTTGTTGTTGTTGTTGTTTGGGTTTTTTTTTTTTTGGTGTGTGGTACTAGAGATTGAACCTAGGGGGCTGGAGTTGTGGCTCAGTGGTAGAGCACTTACCTAGCATGTATGAGGCCCTGGGTTCGATTCTCAGCACTGCATATAAATAAATGAATAAAATAAAGGTCCATCAACATCTAAAAAAAGTATATATTAAAAAAAAAAAAAGAGAGATTGAACCTAGGGTCACTTACCACTGAGCCACATTCCCACACGAAGCCACATTCACAGCCTTTTAAAAACTTATTTTGGGACAAGATCTCAAGTTGCTGAGACTGGCCTTGAACTTGTGATCTTCCTGCCTCAGCCTCCCTAGTAGCTGGGGTTATAGGTGTGTACAACCATGCCCGGCTTCATGTAAGAGATTTTTAAATATTAAAAAAATCTTTCTCTGACTCCACGTCTTTCTGTATCTATTCTCCTTACTCATATTTTTTTTAGTAAGTTCTCTTGTAAGAATCATCTATATTTTATCTGCTTCTTACTCATTCTTGAAACCACTAAAATCCGGCTTCCACTATATACTTCATCTCCATTTTTCTACTGCCCACTGGAACTATTTCTCACCAACATAACCAACAACTTCCTTGTTCTTAAGGCTGGTGGTTCCTTCTCTACAGACTACTGGACCTCTCTGGGACATTCTGAATTGTTGACTATTCCTTCCTTCTTGAATCTCTGTCCTTTCTTGACTTTCCTTAAGTCCTGGCCCATCTTGGTTTTCCTTCTATCTCTCTGACAGGTGCTTTGCTATCTACTTTGCAGACTTATCTTTTTACTTGTATCCATAAATGTTAGTATGGTGGGCTTCTTTGTTTTGTATGGATGGCACCCTTCTGGTAGGAGCTGCCTTTCACTGTGGTAATCTTATGAAGCTTCTGGCAACAACAGATCACTGCTGCAGGGATTAGCATCCAACCAAAGCCAGGTTGGTGAGGGAAAGTCCCTAGGAACACTGGAACTGGAACTAAGAGGCTAGGCTGGAATTGGAACTGAAGAAGATGCTGACCTGAGTTACAAACTGCAAATATTGAGAACTGTCAAAACTGAATTTATTATGAAAAAGATTAAAGAAGCATTGGAAGTTTGTCTGGAGAGATAAAAGGAAAGGAGAGAAGGAGGAGGGGGGGAGGGTGAAACACAAAGGAACAGAGGGAAGGAGAGACAGATGGGGTTGGGGAGGGAGAGAACAGATGAAGCAAACCAGAAAGGAGCAGAAAGGTAGAGAGTCCCAATGGCATACAAGTTCTCAGATCCAGTTTTCTCAAGTTCCACCATGTTCTTGGGCACAAAACACTAGTTTTTTTTTTAAATAAATGCTTTTGCCTAAGCTAGTTTAAGTTAGGTTTCTCTGACTTGCAGCACCATAGAAATTGGGTACTGAAGTATTCTGAATGACAGATCTTACAATGAGGAACTAAGATGAGTTGTGTAGAGGGTCTCTACTGTTAGGATCTTCTAATACCAGTCTGAGATCTGAAAGTCCTTTTCATGTTGTAGCAAAGCAATTACTTGAACTACTGCCCACTGTCCCTTGTCTTAGATTGTGTGCCAACTGGAGCTGGAGCATTTGAAGACGACAAGACGAGTAACTCAAAAACGGTAGTCTGCGTGAAGTTAGGAGAAAACAGAATATGCATTTAACTTGGAGAAGAATATCTGTTTCTTCTTGACCTAGTGTTACCAGGAATTAGATAATTATGTGCCTTACTGAACTTCACAAGCTGTTATTTGCTACTCTCTAATGCTAATCCCCTGATTAGGAAACTCAGATCCAGCAATCAGGATGGAGATATACTGGAAGAAGACTTAGAGGATTGGGAAGCCTTCTTATCATCCCTTCCCTGATGCCTCTCATTGTAAAGAGCATTGACTGGGATGAGATGAGACAAGAGCATCATTCGGGGTGGGCACAGTGGCACATGCCTATAATTCCAGCAGCTTGGGAGACTGAGACAGGAAGATTGCAAGTTCAAAGCCAGCCTCAGCAACTTAGTGAGGGCTTAAACAAGTTAGCGAGACTCTGACTCAAAATAAAACATAAAAAGGTCTGGGGATGTGGTTCAATGGCTAAGTACCCCTAAGTTCAATCCCTGGTCCTCCCCCCCATAAAAAAATAAAAACATCATTCAGGGTAGGATGAAAAAGAAAGGCTTTCAACCCTAGCACTCCAGCCTCTAATTTCCCATTAAGCCATAAGGCATAATCAGAGGTATTGAAAGAGCTCCCAGACCTAGTACTATGAAAAAGAGAAACTTCAAAAATCTGCTCAGGCCTTAGATCTTCTTGGAGGTTCAGAAAGCATGATTCGACAAAATTTGGGGGTTGATTATGGTAGTAGAAGTCTGTTATACTCATGGAAGTCCTTTACTTTTTAAATAGTTTTTCTGTGTAGGAAAACTCCCATTTAAAAATCCTGCCTCCTAAGTATAGAAGTCAGAAATAAGATGCCTAGCATTCCTTGCAACTTATTTACAGGCAAGATTCTTCACCTGTGAGACTTCCATGTGGAAATGAACAATATAAGTGAGATAGAAATCATTCCAAGTTCACCAGTATCTCTGGTTCTTACTCCTTCAGAGCACCAGGAAGATGGTACTTCCTGTGTCCCTTGATATTAGGTATGACCACAAGATTTGTTTTGATCAATGCAATGTGGGCAAAATCCAGTGTAAGCTTTTCTTCACTCCTTTCTCCTGCCACAGCAAACCATGAAACTAATGTCAAGAAGACAACATCATCATAAGAAGGTGGGGCCTCCAACAGCTTGTATCCTTCAGCAACCAAGTGAGCAAAACTAACAATCTACCCCCACCTGCTGAACTATTGAATGAGCTAGAAATATATCTTTGTTGTTTGAATCCAGTAAGATTTGGGGGGTTGTTTGTAATGACTGTGCTACCTCGTGAATCCTGATTGGTATATAGGTAAGAAGCAGGTTGGACACCAGCTTCAATCTCTGCTGTTGCTGATAGTAACACAAGTGTCCAGCTTTGTGGGTGATAGTGGCAACAGTGATGGTCTTCCAGTGGCTGCAATAATGAGTTCCTACCACAGAGGTGTCATAGAGCTTGTAAAATTGGCAGTCAAATTGAACTCTTGGTACTCAGTATTCAGAATAGCAATGGCTGTGATTTCCTCCTCAGATTGTATAGTGTGGTTTGGGTGTTATTCCTAGAAGCTAGCCTCAAGTCTATTTCCCCAGCCCTCCTAGCAATTCTGAGTTAAATAATCTCGTTTAACAAATCCCTTTTCTGCTTCAACTATCCACAGAAGATTCTATTATTTGTGAAAAAGGACCCTGACTGACAAAATAACTATACTTAATAAATCTCAGATTCCATCAATTACAAGAGGCAAGTTATTTTGTGAACTCACAAGAAAAAAAGAGGCTAAAAAACTATTACATGCCATTAGTTGAAAAGCACATTTTTTCAGTTATTTAAGCTGAAAAAAAGTCCTTTACAATCAGTAAAATATGTTATTAGCAAATAAAATCCCCAAAATAAAATTGATAGGCAGCTGATTAGGGTTTTAAGAGAACTGTATCATGAACCAGGCTGTGGGTTGCATCTCCAGCACAAATACACAAACAAAAACCCCACAAAGAATTGTATCATCTAGGGAAGGAAAAAAAAAATAGTCTCAACCCTAATCCTCATCAATGCAGAAATCTATGATTGCTCAATCCCAGAACAATCCCTAAGTTACCCCCAAAAGTGTGATGTTAATCAGTACAGTGCCCCCACAAAAAACTCTTCCGCCGTAGTCCTCTCAGAACATTGGATAAGGGATCTCTTCAAGGTGGGCAAAACCTGAGGCAACCAGATTGACTGATGACACAGCCAAAGATTTGAAGTTAACGGATACATGAGGTTTTCTAGTGCTATCATTTTCATTATTATCCATGATAATGCTTTGGATTAGTGACCAATACACAGTGTTTCCTTTTTACTCCATTTTATTCTCTATTTCTCCCATTTCTAAACATCAGGACTTTTTGTGTGGATATGTGTGGTGGTAAGGGATTGGTTTAAAGATATCCTTCAATGACCAAGTGAGCAAAACTAACAACCTACCCCCACATGCTGAACTATTGAATGAGCAAGAAATATATCTTTGTTGTTTGAATAAGATTTGGGGGGTTGTTTGTAATGACTGTGCTACCTCGTGAATCCTGATTGATATATAGGTACGAAGCAGGTTGGGTACCAGCTTCAATCTCTGACAGTTAAAGGGCATTGGGATTATTAGAAGCCATAGTTACAACTCATGGAGACCAAACTGGCAAGCCATTATCCAGATAACTTGTTTTTAAAGAACAATGGTCCTACAATAGAACCTCCTTGAAGCAGTAGCTGGATGTGTCACTGAGTTGCTCCTCATTGGAAAGAAGGTGAATTTATTGGCATACATACAGGGGGATGGTTAGATTATGTAGATGTGTTAGTCAGCTTTCCATTACTGTAACAAACACCTGAGATAATTAACTTATAAAGAGAAAAGCTTTGTTTTGGCTCACAGTTTTGGAGCTTTCAGTCCATGATCTGTTGGCTTGGTTGCTTTTGGTCCTGTGATGAGGTAAGCACAATTGGCAGGCAGTGCATGGTAAAGCAAAGCCACTCACTTCAGGGCCAGGATGAGAGAAAGAAGAAGAGACCAGAGTCCACAATTCCCTTCACAGGCATGCCCCACCTCCCTACAGCACCAAGCTGGGGACCAAACCTTTAATATATGAGACGTATGAGAGGACCTTCAATACATGAGAGGACATTCCAGATTTAATCTATAACAACAATAGGTGGGGACATTTTTGGAATCATATATATATAGAAAATGATGTGTATGTGTTGGGCAAACAAAGGCTGGACCCTAGTGAACACCTGCCATTTTGCTTATTCATGATCCCTCTTCTCCTGGAAACCACCCCACCCCCACTGTCCACAGGGTTATCATGAGAGCTATGTTAGTCATTTGGTTGTCATCCCTTGATTAGTCCAAAGTTAAATATCTAACTAACATGAGCCTATCATAGTACTTTGAGGAATTTGTAAACTACATCCAAAAATAAGCAGCAGTAGCAGATACCACTACCACCAGTCTCCAAAACTGAACTCATCAACACCTCCCCTACCCCCACCAAGTCCCTTGCTGAAATTCACTGCTTCTTCTTCACAGTAAATGGCATTCCAGTATCTGCAGCCACTAACCAGAGTTATCTAGGACTTTTCCTTCCCTCTTTCCTCCCTTAGTCTCTAAGTCTCTTACGTTTTGCCATCTATAGTTCCCAAATATCTTTAATGTTCTCCTGACCTCTTCACTTCTATTCCCATCATTTCAGCCCCTCATTTTTACTCCTTGCCTTCACCCTCAAAGGCTTTTGACACCCCTTTCCATCCAGCAGCTCAAATCATCTTTCTAATTTCTGGATATGATAACATTACTCTTCTGCTCAAAATTCTTCAGTGGTTTCCCATGGTTTTCAGGATAAAATGTGAACTCCTGCAGCTGGGTCACTAACTTCACTCACATTACACTCAGATGTACAATGATATGTCTCCTCTCTCTCCTGTAACTGATCTGATCTTCCTCACAATGCTCTTACCCTGCTGGGTAACAGGGGAGAAAACTAAAATTAATCCATTCTGGTAAACTCCATAGGGTCCAAAATTTATTTTAGACAGTCTTTAGCTCAGTAGCATTGAATGGCTCAGTATTTCACTATTTTGTTCTTCCCTTTCTCCTCTTCAGGACAGTACCTGAATTTGTTGGGGTCTTATGTGAATTTCATGGCACTGGAGAAAGGGAGCTTTTAGCCACCTGGTTGTTGGGGTTACATCAGCTGACATTTGCTGAGAAGTGGCTGGTTCAGTATAAATTAATTAGTGAAAAACAACCCCGAGAGGTAGCTATCACTATAACCATTTTATAGACAAGGAAGCTGAGGTTAAGGAACTTGTCCAAGGTCACAAAGTTAGTAAGTGGCAGAACCAGGGATTAACAGCACCTGATTCCAGTACATACTTGTTTATGAGTTTAGAATTCCAGATATAGCTTCAGAGATGTGATTGCCCACAAAGAATATGTGAGATGAGAAGAGAGCCCAGATCAGAACACTTAAGAATCACCGAGGTAGGAGAGGGAGCTCAATAGTAGAGTATATGCCCCCAGCACCAGCACCAAAAATAATAATCTCTGGCATGTGAGGAACTGGGAGAAGAAGGTCTCCCTAGCTGCTTCATCCAAGTTATCTTCCCTCTTAAGAGACCTTCTAAGATGGAGAGTCAGGACTTCCACCAGGCCTGAAAGTATTCCAGCCAGGACAAAGCAATTCTTTAGGTACTCCCCTCCCCTCTGTCCTAGATTCCCTCACAGCACAGCAAAGTATAAGCCTGAGACCAACCCTGGCTGGGAACTCAGTGAATGCATCCAAAGAACCTGTGTTGCCAGAGATCTTCACATCACCTCCTAGGACCACCAAATGCAGGGCCAAGTACAAATACTCTATACTGAGGATGCAGGGTCCACACTCGGGCGGGAGTATGGGTAGTATCATAGTGGGCCTCCTAGATCACTGTCCTCCCAGGTGTGGAGACATAGGGCCTTCTGGATGACAGGGTCAGAGGTTGGTGGGGCGCGTCTCCTCTGGTGTAGGGCATGTAGAGGCCTTGGCCTTTCTCAGATGTTGAGATGTTGCTCTTCCAGATGTGGAAGGTGCAAGAAATCCCTGCTAGAAGGTGGACCACGCCCCTACCCTACACCCTCTCCAGGCCAGATCAAGACCAAGCAGCCCATTCAGCCCTCCTGCCGCCTCCCGCCCCTCCCGCCTGCACCAGGGGCGGTCCTGTCCCACCCTAGCGCACGACCAATGGCGCTGGAACTTGGTGAGGCCAGCCAATTGAACGGCGGCAGCGGTGTGGAGATGATTCCGCCCCCGGCGGGCTGCCGGCAGCCGGCCACCCAGGAGGCGGGGTCCTTGGCTGTTTTTGCTGCTGGCCGAGCTCGGCCGAGCTTAGCCGACTGCAGCCGGCCGAAACCGAGCCCAGCCGAACGCAGCCGAGCCCA